AACCTTACACTACAGCCTCCAAAACCTTACACTACAGCCTCCAAAACCTTACACTACAGCCTCCAAAACCTTACACTACAGCCTCCAAAACCTTACACTACAGCCTCCAAAACCTTACACTACAGCCTCCAAAACCTTACACTACAGCCTCCAAAACCTTACACTACAGCCTCCAAAACCTTACACTACAGCCTCCAAAACCTTACACTACAGCCTCCAAAACCTTACACTACAGCCTCCAAAACCTTACACTACAGCCTCCAAAACCTTACACTACAGCCTCCAAAACCTTACACTACAGCCTCCAAAACCTTACACTACAGCCTCCAAAACCTTACACTACAGCCTCCAAAACCTTACACTACAGCCTCCAAAACCTTACACTACAGCCTCCAAAACCTTACACTACAGCCTCCAAAACCTTACACTACAGCCTCCAAAACCTTACACTACAGCCTCCAAAACCTTACACTACAGCCTCCAAAACCTTACACTACAGCCTCCAAAACCTTACACTACAGCCTCCAAAACCTTACACTACAGCCTCCAAAACCTTACACTACAGCCTCCAAAACCTTACACTACAGCCTCCAAAACCTTACACTACAGCCTCCAAAACCTTACACTACAGCCTCCAAAACCTTACACTACAGCCTCCAAAACCTTACACTACAGCCTCCAAAACCTTACACTACAGCCTCCAAAACCTTACACTACAGCCTCCAAAACCTTACACTACAGAGCCCACCATCTTACACTACAGCCCCCACCACCTTACACTACAGTCCCCACCACCTTAGACTTCAGCCCCTAACACCTTACACTACAGCCCCACCACCTTACACTACAGCCCCACCACCTTACACTACAGCGCCCACCTCATTACACTACAGCGCGCCACCACCTTACACTACAGCCCCCCCCCCCACCAAGAAACCCCCCAATGTGCAGTAGGGCGGAAAGGGTCCTAACGTGACAGATACTTGGCGGACGTACACTGTTGTTTTACATCTCCGTTGAATAGGGATACAGTAGCGTAGCTAAGGCTAGTGCTTATCCTGGGCAAGCCAACATTTTTACCGCCCATTCCACTAAAAAAAGCTTTGCAGTTGATTGAAAATCCCGCGCATCCATAATGGAAATTTGCTGCCCAGTGCGGACCCCCAGCTTCATAAGTCACTGTATGGATCCGCCGCTAATGGTACCAGCCCATTTCCACCAATTTACATTTTATTTTCGGCGTAGAGCCTTGAACCTCTCTGCCACTGGACTCTCGGTCAATTTTTCTGTCAGACAATTTCTACGGGGGAGGGGGGGGGGCGACGACACGGTGCATTTTAGCTTTTAGGTTAGGCAATGTATTTTATTTTCGGCGTAGAGCCTTGAACCTCTCTGCCACTGGACTCTCGGTCAATTTTTCTGTCAGACAATTTCTACGGGGGAGGGGGGGGGGGGCGACGACACGGTGCATTTTAGATTTTAGGTTAGGCAATGACCAGAGGCGTAGCTAACGGAGGGCATAGGGTGGCAGATGTGCCTGGGCGCCAGTCTAGCGGGGGGCGCCAAGATGGGCTCTGGTGGGATTTGATGAATGAAAATAATGGGTTTCCGAGTTGAGGGTTGGAAGTGTCAACATGAATCTTGTCCCCCTGCTGCCAAACGTCCTAACGACGCCCCTGGCAGTGTCCTAGCAATGGGGGCGGATGGGGTGGTCTTAACTGACTCTGGTTGGGGCGTACCCAAGGGTAGTCACCTGGCACAAGCTTAGATTCAACGCCCTACTATCACATTGATCGGCATGAGGGAAAGTTTGGGTAGGGAGGGGGGTGTTAGAAATTGAGGTTGACGAAAACTTTCAAACAAACGTGGGGCAGAAGTCTCCATTGAAATTTTTTTCCTAAATTTAAAATGCGGCAATGCATTTTGGCACATACTTGAATTCGATGTTTATTTTAGACAACTTGGGAGAGATCATTTCAGAGTTTTGAGTGGAGAGCGCAAGATTAACCAAACTAACGACCAGGGACAGCTCGTTCCATTTTTGGCACCCTTGAGGGTATACCTTTATTTTCCGTAGCTTAGTTTCGCACCTTAAATCTTCATCATCCCAAGAAAAATCCTAAAACTATTGATAATTTCAAAATGCAAGAAGGCCGTTTAGCACATACCTGAAGTTAATCTGGCAACATTCTACACTTAATCGGAAGCAAAAAGAGAGATGCCTGTTAAACATTTAGGTTTCACTTGACCTCAGAGCGTGAGCCTTTGACCCCTACAGCTGTAGGGGGAAAGGGGTGGGCCCTAACACTACAGGGGCTTAACATTGCGGTGTGGACACTTTTTTTACTTATTAATATCAAATTTGAATGCCCCACGGTGGTAGGTGGCCTCAAAAAGTCAAGGGCGGCTCTGCTTTGTCAACATTCTATTACATCCACATTTTGTTACAACAGCTGCTACTAGTGCACTGCTACATCAACATTCTTTTAAAACAACTGCTACATCAACATTCTGTTACAACAGCTGCTACATCAACATTCTTTTAAAACAACTGCTACATCAACATTCTGTTACAACAGCTGCTACATCAACATTCTTTTAAAACAACTGCTACATCAACATTCTGTTACAACAGCTGCTACATCAACATTCTTTTAAAACAACTGCTACATCAACATTATGTTACAACAGCTGCTACATCAACATTATTTTAAAACAACTGCTACATCAACATTATGTTACAACAGCCACATAGAACACACACAAGCCACGTAGAACACACACAAGCTACATAGAATACACACAAGCCACGTATAACACACAAGCTACATAGAACACACACAAGCCACGTAGAACACACACAAGCTACATAGAACCCACACAAGCAAGGTATAACACACAAGCTACATAGAACACACACAAGCCACGTATAACACACAAGCTACATAGAACACACACAAGCCACATAGAAGACACACAAGCCACGTAGAACACACACAAGCCACATAGAAGACACACAAGCCACGTAGAACACACACAAGCCACATAGAAGACACACAAGCCACGTAGAACACACACAAGCCACATAGAAGACACACAAGCCACATTGAACACACACAAACCATGTAGAACACACACAAGCCACATAGAACACACACAAGCCACATAGAATACACACAAGCCACATAGAACACACACAAGCCACATAGAACACACACAAGCCACATAGTAACAGTCTAGTCTTGTAACACATTACACTAAACAGGGATTGGCTTTCTTGGAAGATTCCAAAGACATTGATCAAATGCTGCCACTGTCAAGAACAGTGAGGACACAGATCAACTCAGAATGGACTCCTTTAGATTTACAGATGTTATAATGGAAAAAATGGTTTGTTCGAAAAAATATATTTTAATGATCTCATAGGTACTATATCCTTTCGTAGGCATTAATAGTAGATTAAGTAGTGGGAGGTTAATCGCAACCCCTATCTCATTACCACTTCTCCCCAACGACACCCCTTCCCCTTTTCCTGAGATGCCTTTTTGGGCCAACCAGCAAATTTTTGGTTTTGATGGTTACTGCATTCAAAGTTTGTTCATTTTTTCATCATCAAATGAGTAAAACAGAGTAGGGTTAAACCTGAAAAAATAAACGCAACAAAACAGCGAACGTGTCGGCAGAAAGCCTTCGTCAGCAAACAAAACAACAGAAAAAAACGGTATAAAAAAAAAAATAGCACTTAGCTGGTAAGTAGTATCTGTGGGCAGCAATAGAAGTGTCATTTTATTTTGTACTAATCTGATTGCATTCTCTCCCCTTATTACCCCTTAATTTTTCATCATCAAAACTTTGGGCCCCTTAAATATCTGAAGTCCCTAGCACCCTCAGTGGTTGCCGGAGCAGAGCAGTCGCATGCACACCACCCCCCCCCACCCCCCCCCCCCACCCCCCCGCCCCTAAAAAAAAATAGCCCTTAGCTGGTAAGTAGTATCTGTGGGCAGCAATAGAAGTGTCATTTTATTTTGTACTAATCTGATTGCATTCTCTCCCCCTATTACCCCTTAATTTTTCATCATCAAAACTTTGGGCCCCTTAAATATCTGAAGTCCCTAGCACCCTCAGTGGTTGCCGGAGCAGAGCAGTCGCATGCACACCCCCCCCCCCCACCCCGCCCAAATAACTGTATGTAGGAAATGAGAAAGACATACGAATCACCAGGCTGAACGAATTTGTTTGATGTATGACAGTATTATCCTATTTGTATCAGTCAGTCATTAACTCCACATAAAAACAATTGATGTGTTAACTTCTGTGCTGTGTGTAAACATTCAGGAAAAACTACAAGCAACGTCATCAAACCAAAGTGTCATTATTTCCCTTTGCCAACCTTGTCCACCATCTCTGGTGAATCTCTTTGCCAACCTTGCCCACCATCTCTGATCAATCTCTTTGCCAACCTTACCCACCATCTCTGGTCAATCTCTTTGCCAACCTTACCCACCATCTCTGGTGAATCTCTTTGCCAACCTTGCCCACCTTCTCTGGTCAATCTCTTTCAGTTGATTAGCTTTCACATCAATCTCATCGTTCACAAAAATCTGTAGCACTCCCGATGCTCTTAATCAAAGTAGCTTTGCAACCCACAGGTCAGGTGTCCAGATGTGGTAATGACTTGCTTAAACACAATTCAATGAACACTAACACCACCGACCTCGTGAAAACACAGAAATGATACAATTATCAGCTTCAACTTTATTATTCCCAGTATCTGTAGTTGAATGTTACAACCATTTGTCATCTATCTAACATCATTTTGAGCAACTCAGAAGAATGGTTAGATTTATCACAACAAAAATTGCCAGCAATGCAATACTTACACTTAACTAATAAAATTAACAACACTAACAATATTATCCACAGATTTTTCAAACAATTGTAACACAACATATTTAACAAGTATTAATCTCAATCTGATATTAAAGTGTGACAACACACAAAGATGAGATTTTAGAATATGGTGAACAGGATTGACAGTGAGAAGTTAAATTTCAATGGACAAAACTGGAGTTTCAGGAAAATGTCTCTTAGGGATAAAGTAAGTTTGAAAGATTTCTAAGTGCTCTAGCCTAGAACATTTGGCCCGAACTTGCACCAGAATGTGTTAAGGTGTTAACATTGTTTCAGAATCCTAGCCTAGAACATTTGGCCCGAACTTGCACCAGAATGTGTTAAGGTGTTAACATTGTTTCAGAATCCTAGTCTAGAATATTTGGACCAAACTTACACCAGAATGTGTTAAAATTTCAACATGGTTTCAGTATCATGATTGATTTTCAGAGCAGAGACAGTTGGGGCATGTCATGAGAAAACAAAATACAATATGTGGTGAAATCCACAAAGAACTATCACAAGGAAAAGCCATCAGATTCTTTGACTGTGACTTGGACAGGTGAAATGGCAACAAAATAAAATTAGGATGAATAAATATATTGAGTAAACATATTGAGTAAACTTAATTAATGCAGGGTGCAACACAAATAATTTAAAAAAATATATACATATGAAATTTTTTTGTTTAAAAGTGATGATGCTTTAAATGTAAATGCTTTGTAATGACATTATTGCAACTATTACAGAGGTTCTAATTTTAACGGCTCCATTCAAGTAGTAGTTATAGGACTAGGGGCTGCAACTCTGAGCTGGAAGTTTTCATGTTTGAACACCCCGGAGCTAGAGTGATGCCCACTTGATGTTTCTGGCTTGGCCAGTTCTGTGAGGATAGCCAGCTGTGGAGGTAAACATTGACCCATGGTAAGAACATGTCATTATCTCTAGGCTCAGCCACAGTATAAGGGAAGTGTGGTCATTTAAAATTAAAACTTGTTAGAAAAAAATTATTGGTGTAAAATTGTTGGAAAGAGATGATATGTAATTTTCAGTTTGTTAGTTGAGATCACTGCATTTTTCCTCTTGACATTTTAATCTTACCCTTGATGGTGTCTTCAATGATTTTCTGATAGTTTCAAAAGCTTGCAGGTGATGAGGGTCCAGTATAAACTGTTGAAAATAATATATATATATTACTGTCAATGGAATGATAATAGTTTTTGGATTAAAATTTAAAAAAATTAAAAAATTTAAGTAATGTATTTGAACAATTTGAGATCTAGAATCCAAAATGATTTCATCTTCTTCCTAAATCCAACAATTTTTTTTCTCTTATGTCACAGAAACTGAATTTTCTTTAATCACACAGGCATAATTTGTTATTTCTCTTTTGTTTCAGAAATGTGTGTTATCCTCATTTTGAATTGTCCCTAAGCGTAGCAATAGATAAAAAAAAAGAAGTTGTAGGCCTTTAAACTTTTGTCTAAAATACTCTTAACATTTTACTCTTTTATTTTGGTTGATGCCTGGGGTTTAAATCCCTTTACCAATTTTAGTTGAGTCACTTTGTATCATGAACAGTATTTTATAGCAAACTGCGAGGGTCTCAGATGAGATTTGTTAAACAAGGGAGAGAATACTTGCCTCAGTGTTATCTTTCTTTTCTCTACGTCCAGCCCTCAAGCTTTGACTCGGGTTGGACAGAGACCGGTGGAACCTGGTGCTGGTGGTGTTGCGTGAACGTCGCGTGTTGCTGCACTGGTAGCATACCCACACTTCCTCACCGTCCAACATGTGGATGGAGCCCACCGCACGTAGACATGGGGTGTGGTAGGTGTGACCGCATCTGTGAGGGGAGATCAGGTGGGGAGATCAGGTGGGGAGATCAAGAGAGGAGATCAAAAGGGGAGATCAAGTAGGGAGATCAGGTGGGAAGGTCAAGTGGGGAGATCAGGTGGGGAAATCAGGTGGGGAGATCAAGTGGGGAGATCAAGAGGGGAGATCAAGTGGGGAGATCAAGTGGGGATCAAGTGGGGAGATCAAGTGGGGAGATCAGGTGGAGAGATCAGGTGGGGAGATCAGGTGGGGAGATCAGGTGGGGAGATCAGGTGGGGAGATCAAGTGGAGAGATCAGGTGGGGAGATCAGGTGGGGAGATCAGGTGAGGAGATCAAGTGGGGAGATCAGGTGGGGAGATCAAGTAGGGAGATCAGGTGGGAATCAGGTGGGGAAATCAGGTGGGGAGATCAGGTGGGGAGATCATGTGGGGAGATCAGGTGGGGAGATCAAGTGGGGAGATCAAGTGGGGAGATCAGGTGTTCCCAGATTTACATCTCTAGATGTACAGCAAGTGACATCAAGGAACATGTGACTTTTTTTTTTTTTTTTTGGATGTGATATTTTGTCAGCTTATTATAAATCTTATATTGCATCATAAAAAAACAGTTACTTGGAACTGAAATTTTAAAAAGTGGAGAGTTTAATGCACTTGGATTTAGAGATCTTTGTTTAATCAGAGGAAGGTCAAATATTAAATTTGAATATTTTCTCAATATAATCTGATAACATTGAAGCTAGAAGACAGGAAAGGCGCAACAAGTTACACAAGTAACACAACAAGTTACGCAACAAAAAGTTACGCAACAACAAAATGCAAAACAAGTTACACAACAAGTTACAAAACAAGTTACAAAACAAGTTACAAAACAAGTTACAAAACAAGTTACAAAACAAGTTACAAAACAAGTTACAAAACAAGTTACAAAACAAGTTACAAAACAAGTTACAAAACAAGTTACAAAACAAGTTACAATACAAGTTACAAAACAAGTTACACAACAAGTTACAAAACAAGTTACAGAACAAGTTACAAAACAAGTTACAAAACAAGTTACAAAACAAGTTACAAAACAAGTTACACAACAAGTTACAAAACAAGTTACAGAACAAGTTACAAAACAAGTTACAAAACAAGTTACACAACTAGTTGCAAAAACAAGTTACACAACAAGTTGCACAACAAATTACAAAAAAAGTTACAAAACAAGTTGCACAACAAGTTACAAAAGAAGTTACAAAACAAACCTGAAGACCAAAACTGTGTCAGAAGGTGGAGTGTCTGTAAAATTCTGATTGCACAAGTTGCAGGAATGTTCTCGTGGCACGAACCCTCGTGTTGCTGTTTGGGTCAGACTCCGCAGGTGAATGTGAAGGTCATGGTACACAAGGTTTTTACAGGTCTCCATTAGAGTCTACATTTTAAAAAAAAAAACACACCAGAATAGGTTTATTTACCTTTTGAAAATTTACTTACAGAGCCACAGCCCACCATGATAAACTATATTACATCATTTCTGAATGTTACTAAAAGAGACAGTTTACACCAACTGACTTAATTATAAACTAACAATAACAAACACTCTTTGGGTTCAGTAAAGACTCACAAGACAGAATCTCATCATCATTTGAAAAAGTCAATGAGTTAGCCCCCTTGCCAAATGTTGAACTAAAGTGAATTTTTAAAAAGGATGTGGAGCCATGGCTGCCTACGGAATTTATGGATCAGATCTTAATATGGCCATGTCATGGGGAAATAGAGAATTTATGGATCAGATCTTAATATGGCCATGTCATGGGGAAATAGAGAATATACGAAATGTCATTGGCACAGGACCATGGGCAACATCCCTTACTCTTTTCTTGCTGTAGACTAACTCTAGACTACATATTTAAAACTGAAAATTATTCAAAAGGAGAATTTCATGGGTCATGTGTGTAGATCTGTACGGATATTTAAATGACTGTTATCACATGACCTAAGACATGACCGGTGGTCTGTACGGATGTTTAAATGACTGTTATCACATGACCTAAGACATGACCGGTGGTCTGTACGGATGTTTAAATGACTGTTATCACATGACCTAAGACATGACCGGTGGTCTGTACGAATGTTTAAATGACTGTTATCACATGACCTAAGACATGACCGGTGGTCTGTACGAATGTTTAAATGACTGTTATCACATGACCTAAGACATGACCAGTGGTCTGTACGAATGTTTAAATGAATGTTATCACATGACCTAAGACATGACCGGTGGTCTGTACGGATGTTTAAATGAATGTTATCACATGACCTAAGACATGACCGGTGGTCTGTACGGATATTTAAATGAATGTTATCACATGACCTAAGACATGACCAGTGGTCTGTACGAATGTTTATATGACTGTTATCACATGACCTAAGACATGACCAGTGGTCTGTACGGATATTTAACAGAATGTTATCACATGACCTAAGACATAACCGGTGGTCTGTACGGATATTTAAATGACTGTTATCACATAACCTAAGACATGACCGGTGGTCTGTACGGATATTTAAATGAATGTTATCACATGACCTAAGACATGACCGGTGGTCTGTACGAATGTTTAAATGACTGTTATCACATGACCTAAGACATGACCGGTGGTCTGTACAGATATTTAAATGACTGTTATCACATGACCTAAGACATGACCAGTGGTCTGTACGGATGTTTAAATGACTTGTCACATGACCTAAGACATGACCGGTGGTCTGTACGGATGTTTAAATGACTGTTATCACATGACCTAAGACATGACCGGTGGTCTGTACGAATGTTTAAATGACTGTTATCACATGACCTAAGACATGACCAGTGGTCTGTACGGATGTTTAAATGACTGTTATCACATGACCTAAGACATGACCAGTGGTCTGTACAAATGTTTAAATGACTGTTATCACATGACCTAAGACATGACCGGTGGTCTGTACGAATGTTTATATGACTGTTATCACATGACCTAAGACATGACCAGTGGTCTGTACGGATGTTTAAATGACTTGTTATCACATGACCTAAGACATAACCGGTGGTCTGTACGAATATTTAAATGACTGTTATCACATGACCTAAGACATGACCGGTGGTCTGTACGGATGTTTAAATGACTGTTATCACATGACCTAAGACATGACCGGTGGTCTGTACGAATGTTTAAATGACTTGTCACATGACCTAAGACATGACCAGTGGTCTGTACGGATGTTTAAATGACTGTTATCACATGACCTAAGAAATGACTGGTGGTCTGTACGAATGTTTAAATGACTGTTATCACATGACCTAAGATATGACCGGTGGTCTGTACGGATGTTTAAATGACTGTTATCACATGACCTAAGACATGACCGATGGTCTGTACGGATGTTTAAATGACTGTTATCACATGACCTAAGACATGACCGGTTGTCTGTACGGATGTTTAAATGACTGTTATCACATGACCTAAGACATGACTGGTGGTCTGTACGAATGTTTAAATGACTGTTATCACATGACCTAAGATATGACCAGTGGTCTGTATGGATGTTTAAATGACTGTTATCACATGACCTAAGACATGATCGGTGGTCTGTACGGATATTAAAATGACTATTATCACATGACCTAAGACATGACCGGTGGTCTGTATGGATGTTTAAATGACTGTTATCACATGACCTAAGACATGACCGGTGGTCTGTACGAATGTTTCAATGACTTGTACATGACCTAAGACATGACCAGTGGTCTGTACGAATGTTTAAATGACTGTTATCACATGACCTAAGACATGACCGGTGGTCTGTACGAATGTTTAAATGACTTGTCACATGACCTAAGACATGACCGGTGGTCTGTACGAATGTTTAAATGACTTGTTACATGACCTAAGACATGACCGGTGGTCTGTACGGATGTTTAAATGACTGTTATCACATGACCTAAGACATAACCGGTGGTCTGTACAGATGTTTAAATGACTGTTATCACATGACCTAAGACATGACCGGTGGTTTCTCACTTCTTCGTAGTTGTAGTTCTCCAACATCCCGATGATCAGCTCTTTGACCTCTCCGAACTTCCCCGTGTTGTAGGCTGGGTCCTGAAGTTAAATGGATGCACTTTACAACCAAACAAACCATCACACATCAGCATCAATTTACATTCATTAAACTTTTTACATAAAGTAAATGATTTTTTACATATTTTTTTACTAGTAACTGTTTTTTAAAATTAGCTTGTCCGAGTCAAAGCTAACGCAAAATCCAGGGTTACCTGCATGATTTTCTGCAATATGGCAGGCGGGGAGATGTATCCCATCATGCTGTTGAGTACATGGTGAGTCATCTCCTTAAAACCTGTCGCAAGAAATATAAATGGATTTACATCAGTTGTAGTATTCTCATCAAGATTTTATGCTTTACTGGCTCAAGAAATAAATATTTATATTCTGTCATCAATTTTATTTGTGTTGTCAAGATTATGCCTTACTGTCTCAAGAAATAAAAGTGTGCTTATAAACTATAATCCTTACTGTCTCAAGAAATAATAGTGTATTTATAAACTGTCATGAATTTTATAAGTGTTGTCAAGATTATGCCTTAGACTAGACCTGGACAGAACATATGATAAAGCATGTCTTTTCTTAGTATTCCATAAGATGCACCCTGTCCCCAAAACTCAGACTTCTAAAATGACTGAGTACATATTTTAGTTAAAGATGTTAATAAATGAATACCTAAGATAAAAAAAAATTATTGAAGTGTTCAATAGAAATGATTTTTATTTTTTTGTTTTTCATACAGCAGGAAGTAGCAGTGCAGAAAATAAAGACTAGTAGATAATATATGCTAGAAGGTGGGGGAGAAATGATTAGTCCAATACAAGCAATGGAAAAAATAACAACAGCAAATCAGAGCCTAGGTTGAGGGAAATTCATAAAAAAATGAAAAAGCCATTTTTGTTAATGATTACCTGGCTTACTCATTCAATTAAGACTTGATTAAGCATGCAGAAAACTATGATTTTTAATATTTAAACTTATTACTTACAGTCCATAACATCTTTTTCCAGTGTGTTTTTTAACTTCCTTTGTGGGGAGACTACAGCTTCTAGAAGAGGGAACCACAAGGCCTGGTGGGACAGAGCATAAGGTTTACTAGCCTTTAATGACAGCAGCTTCTGTTTGATTCCTCAAATGTTAATGAGAAGCACTTAATCAAAGCTTCAGACACAAAGGAAAAAGATATGAAACTCATTGTTTGAGAATGGTATGTTTTAGGGTATGAAACTCATTTTTTTGAGAATGACGGGTTTAAAACTTTAACACTTAAGAATGATTAAAACACATAAAGGGTTCTGAATAATTCAATTAGTCACTAGACCAACCTCCCTGGCAGCCTCATCAATTTTGGCTGAATTTCTCTGGCACAGCTGTACGATGATGTAGAGTCGAGTTTCAGCCTTGGAGAACAAAATCTTGGTAGCTTTCAGGCAAAAAGTAAAGATACAGTAGCGGTAAAAGAAATTAGGCCAGCATTCCTCAGAAAATCAAATCATTAATTTGTCCATCTAAAAATATGTTGACCATGGCTGAAGAAATTGTCATGTTGTTTAAATGTTTCTGATCTCTGTGGTCTCACCAATGTCACCAACGAGTGGTTCACACTTGCCATGGCAATAAATTATGTAGTATAATACTCCAAAATTAAATTTGTGGCAGATATCATTTCGATTTAACTTCAAGGGTGTCAAAGTGGAAACATTCCTGCTCTCATCAATTTTTTTTTTTTTAACTTCTGATTCTATATGTTTTCTTTTAAAAGTTTAATGTAGAGGAAAAAATCCTCCAAATTTTACTTAAATATTTTTATAAACTGCATCCATGTGGTTCTGTTGACAAAATCAAATTTAAAAACCTGTTAAATCAGTTGTTTCCTTCTGCACTTGCTGGCTCAGGGTCTTCAGGTGGCTCTGCAGGTTCTGTAGGAACACGAGACAATTAGTTTTAATGACTACATATGGGTTCCTAAGATTTATTATATTGTTTATTGCCGGGGTTAGTCACATAATCTTTAGTTTACTCTGTCACTTACTCTTTGCTTTACTCCGTCACTTACTCTTTGGTTTACTCTGTCAATTACTCTGCTTCACTCTGTCACATACTATTTGCATTACTCTTACATACTCTTTGCATTACTCTGTCAAATACTCTTTGCTTTACTTTGTCACATACTCTTTGCTTTACTCTGCAACATACTCTTAGCTTTACTCTGCAACATACTCTTTGCTTTACTCTGCAACATACTCTTTGCTTTACTCTCCTAATGTGTAAACGGTGTACTATAATTAACAAGATCTTGCAGTTTGATCACTTAGGATGGGCAGACAATTTTAAGTTACCTCCAGCAATATCCTGAATGCACCTTGTATATCACCAGCCTTCTCCAACAAATACGCTGTGGCTTCCCAAGCTTGATGCCTGCGAACAATCTTTCAATACAGAAGAAAACATGTAGTGCAATATTAAGTCTGAGATTAATTCACACACAAAAATAACAAGTTTAAATTTATATTTCATTCTTTTCTGCCTTTATGATTACCCAATTAAAAAATACTGACACACAATTGTAATCCTCTATATGGACACATATCTTTATGTACCAATGTACACTAGTTTTATCTGGCAACCTATCTTTATGTACCAATGTACACTTGCTTTATCAGGCAAGGCATCTTTATGTACCAATGTACACTAGTTTTATCAGTCAAAGCATCTTTATTTACCAATGTACACTAATTTTATCTGGCAACCTATCTTTATTTACCAACACTAGTTTTATCTGGCAACCTATCTTTATTTACCAATGTGCACTAGTTTTATCTGGCAACCTATCTTTATTTACCAATGTGCACTAGTTTTATCTGGCAACCTGTCTTTATTTACCAATGTACACTAGTTTTATCTGGCAACCTATATTTTTTTACCAATGTACGCTAGTTTTAGCACATAGAACTTTGTCTACCTCTAGCGTCTCCTCAAGACGGTAGCCTTCATTTAGCTTAACAAACCCACAGACGTCCTGTGGCTTGTAGCTGCACATCAGGTCAATGTACTGCTCCAATACCTGGGGCTCAATGATGATCTGCTTCTCTGGTCTCAGTGCACTACCTTGGGCATCTCTGGAACAAACGTATGACCCAGTTGTAAGGCAGCATAAACAAACTTATGACCTGGTTGTAAGGCAGCATAAACAAACGTATGACAGGGTTGTAAGGCAGCATAAACAAACATATGACCCAGTTTTAAGATGGCATAAACAAACATATGACTCAGTTGTAAGGCAGCATAAAAAAACATATGAACCAGTTGTAAGACGGCATAAAGGAAGACACAATCTTCTAAGAATTTAAAAATTTAATGTTTTGAGAAATAATTTGAAACTAAAAAGCAATACAAGAACATATTTGATTGGATGACGCTACCTGTAGAATATAACCCCTTGTAGGAATTCAAACAACAAAGTCCTGTTTGAGCCCAGTCTCTTCACGATGTCCAGTAATCCACTGGACAAGCAGGATATCACAGTCTGCGCGGCTTGCTTACAGTCTATGCTCACAAGGTCCTGTACATAAAGCAATGCATGGCCAAAAAGTTTATTAAACAAACAAAAAACTGTAGAGATTGCTTTTTTTTGGTATTCTGTTTTGTCTAAATACTTAACACGAATGACTAGATAACTTGAGATAAAAAATCAATGTCCAATGTTACCTCTAAATTTTTTAGAGCTTCCTCCTGCAGGGCACTCTTCTCTCCAGGAGTACACGTGGGGCTCTGCATGATGCTGTCTATGTACTTGAACACATGGTACTGAAGTGTACAAATATTCAAATGAACTATTTCCGTTTCTACAAGTTAACTACTTCCACTATTAAAAATTGATTCAACTGCCCACCCCTCCACCAATCTGTCTCTTGTCGCCAATGGCAAAATACCTGATAAAGCAGTAAACTAGATTCCACCTGCCCCCCCCAAAACATAACAATGGCATGATATGATGTCTAGGACAGATATGTAAAAGCAAGAATAATTTTAATTTGTAAACAATGTTCAGCTCACAGACATAACGTAGTACAAACACATTAAAAAAAACTTTTTGAAAAAGACTTTCTGTCAAAAATGAGATAAAACGCACATAAAAGTAGAAAATAATTTAAAATTTCTTAAAATGCAATTAAAGACTGTGCAGATGTGTAGAAATGTAGATGAGCCCTCTATGTAGCAAAAGTATTCAAACTTAAATATGTTTTATTTTTTTACATTGTTGAAAATATTTTCTTCACAGACTTTCTTCATGTAAGGCATTTTAAGGTGAACAGAGCACGAGAAATCTTGAAATGTCATGTGTGTAAACAAATAAATAATGCTCCATTTACACATCCACAAGATGGAAATGAAGGAGAGAGAGTCTTTGAAAATACACGGTCTTACCCTACGGGCTGGGTCCTTGAGATAGCATGTGAGAATCTTGTCAAAGCTTCTCCTCTTTTCAAAAAGATACTCACACACTCGGTAACTGAAAGAGTCATAATGAAATAAATAAGTCGTGTCTTTATAAAATTAACATTTAAAAATAAAAATCGCATTGTTATGGTCTCAACTTATTTAAATATGTTTGAAAATTGGACAAGCTGTTAAGTTATTAAAACTAAAGAAACATTTCTGATTACGGCTTTGAATTAGTTTTAGAACTATGAAATAACAATTTGGATGATGTTCTTGCAACAATTTTGTTTAATTAATCAAAATGTACAATTGTAATTGCCTTAACTATATTCATCTGATTTTTCAAAAAAGTTTTAATGGTAACATTGCACATTCTTATGTGTGGACCCTCATTACGTGTGGACCCTCATTATGTGTGGACCCTCATTATGTATGGACCCTCATTACGTGTGGACCCTCATTACGTCTGGACCCTCATTACGTGTGGACCCTCATTATGTGTGGACCCTCATTATGTGTGGTCCCTCATTATGTGTGGACCCTCATTATGTGTGGATCCTCATTATGTGTGGACCCTCATTATGTATGGACCCTCATTATGTATGGACCCTCATAGCTTCGCTGTAGCTGGGAAAGAGTTTAACCCCATGTTGAAAAGTGAGCCAATCTTTGGTACAATGCAATTTAACATAACTTACAACTTGGCTGAGTGGTTAACATAACTTACAACTTGGCTGTGTGGTTAACATAACTTACACTTTGGCTGTGTGGTTAACATAACTTACAACTTGGCTGTATGGGCCAAACTAAGCAGACGGCCTTCATTGAACTGAGCAAGACCCCCGGCTTGTAACAACTCCATCAAGGCCTGTTGTCTCTCCTCATGCCTGGATTCATCTTCTGGGTTGGCCAAGAACTCCAAAACCTGACCAAAGAAGGACAAGAGGCAAGTGAAAAGGCTTTTCATCATTTGACGACCAGAGTAAGTTTTGGCGAATGCCTACCTGTGTGTTACTATACCAATTTATCAATGATGAATCTCCCCCTTACACAAAGCACATTCCAAACAAAAAATTAAATTTAAAGGTTTCACTTTTCTGGCCAATAGAAACTTAGTGGTAAATAAAAATAACTTGAAGGTTATTGCGGATTTGAAGTCAAATTATTGTTATAATCATTAATTGAAGTTATATGGAAAAAGATTGATTGATATAATGTACAATCTATAGATCTTCATAGCATACTAACAAGGCTCTAATACCAACTGGCTTAAGCAATTAAATTCATTCATAAAGGCTGATTAAGAACAATATGACTGACACATATGCTCTCAACATTTTTGCCAGTGAAATGCACACCTCCAACATTACACACAAGCAACATTTAGAACAAATTCCAGCTGATGACATCACAGCACGTTTACCTGTTCAAACAGCACTCTGTTGACTTGGATGGTGTTTTCATGTCTGGCCATCTGGCGGGCCAAGAAGGTGAACAAGATCCCAATCTGTGTGGGCTGAATGGGTCAACAAGAGTAGGAATAATAAAACAATAATCAAACTGTGCTCTGATTGTTTAATATTCTAAAAAAAAATTTTTTTTAAAATTCTGCCCTTGCCTCATCAGCATTTTTCACATTTGTCAGGAATAATTTTATGAACCAAAATGACTTTTCTCCTTAATAAGCATTTAGTGATTAAAATTATAATTCCATAACATACTGTAAAGCCACCACTCTCCATCATAACTTACTGTAAAGCCACCACTCTCCACCATAACTTACTCTAAAGCCACCACTCTCCACCATAACTTACTGTAAAGCCACCACTCTAAACCATAACTTACTGTAAAGCCAACACTCTCCACCATAACTTACTGTAAAGCCACCACTCTCCACCATAACTTACTGTAAAGCCACCACTCTCCACCATAACTTACTGTAAAGCCAACACTCTCCACCATAACTCACTGTAAGGCCAACACTCTCCACCATAACTTACTGTAAAGCCAACACTCTCCACCATAACTTGTAAGAGGATGTCTACAACCCTCTGTCGTTTTTGTTTACTGTTGGAAATAAAAAAAATTTTAAGAAGGAAAAAAATAATAAACAAAAACTTTTAAGTTTCCCATCTAAATATCAGAGTCAACTTCCACTACAAGGATGGACAAGGACATCTCATGAGCAGCCAAGGTGCTACAAGCAAGATGTGCTCAAATAGTCAGTAACAATATATGTAATCTGAACAGCCAAGAGGGTTATATTATAGTATCAATTTATTTGTCAATGATTTTTAATCTTTCTACACATACGTATTTATATTTTAAATGAGAATGACAGATTTGAGAACCATTGTGCTTTTTTATAAAAACACAAAAAGTTCAATGAGGCTTTCAAATTTTAAAAAATGCAAAGTTTCATAAAATTACAATTTTGTTTTTAAATATTATCAGAACACAAGACAATTGTATACAAATATTATCAGAGCACAAGACAAGTGTATACAAATATTATCAGAGCACTAGACAAGTGTATACTAATATTATCAGAGCACTAGACCATAGTATACTAATATTATCAGAGCACTAGACAAGTGTATACTAATATTATCAGAGCACTAGACCATAGTATACTAATATTATCAGAGCACTAGACCATAGTATACTAATATTATCAGAGCACTAGACCATAGTATACTAATATTATCAGAGCACTAGACCATAGTATACTAATATTATCAGAGCACTAGACCATAGTATACTAATATTATCAGAGCACTAGACCATAGTATACTAATATTATCAGAGCACTAGACCATAGTATACTAATATTATCAGAGCACTAGACCATAGTATACTAATATTATCAGAGCACTAGACCATAGTATACTACTTACCCCTCAGGAGTATTAAATTCTGGCTCCTCAAAAGCCTGATAAAAAAAACAAACAAAAAAACTTAAATAATTCTGTTTAAATAAATCACCGAATAAACAGAAAGAGGACAAAACATGTGAAGTATCAGTTACTGGAGGATTGCAAATATTCTCTGAATGATTCCAAAATCATCTTTACATGTCATATTCTCTTTTTATTTCACATTTCAACAACAAAGGCTGATGCACCATTAAAATGTATTATTTGATATGTTTTGATGGCAATGACTGAGAGAAAACATTTGTTTTTGAGAGAAGAAAATTCCAGAACCTTTCAAATACTTTGTCAATATTTACTCTAGCCAAATTTAACCAAAAATCTTGACAAATTTAAACAAAAATGTCTTGACAAATTTAACCAAAAGCCTTGCTATATTTTGGGATAAAGAAATAAGGATAGAGTTGTTTACCAAAGCCAAAACATTGAGGAATTCCCGTGTATCAAATCTGAGCAAAGTTCGCAAATAGGGATAAGGAAGTTCATCTGGGGAAGATAGAAAAACAAACATAATAGTGGCAACATATTCTTTTAAAACAAACATAATAGTGGCAGCATATTCTTTTAAAACAAACATAATATTGGCAACATATTCTTTTAAAACAAACATAATATTGACAACATATTCTTTTAAAACAAACATAATATTGGCAACATATTCTTTTAAAACAAACATAATATTGGCAACATATTCTTTTAAAACAAACATAATATTGGCAACATATTCTTTTAAAACAAACATAATATTGGCAACATATTCTTTTAAAACAAACATAATATTGGCAACATATTCTTTTAAAACAAACATAATATTGGCAACATATTCTTTTAAAACAAACATAATATTGGCAACATATTCTTTTAAAACAAACATAATATTGGCAACATATTCTTTTAAAACAAACATAATATTGGCAACATATTCTTTTAAAACAAACATAATATTGGCAACATATTCTTTTAAAACAAACATAATATTGGCAACATATTCTTTTAAAACAAACATAATATTGGCAACATATTCTTTTAAAACAAACATAATATTGGCAACATATTCTTTTAAAACAAACATAATATTGGCAACATATTCTTTTAAAACAAACATAATATTGGCAACATATTCTTTTAAAACAAACATAATATTGGCAACATATTCTTTTAAAACAAACATAATATTGGCAACATATTCTTTTAAAACAAACATAATATTGGCAACATATTCTTTTAAAACAAACATAATATTGGCAACATATTCTTTTAAAACAAACATAATATTGGCAACATATTCTTTTAAAACAAACATAATATTGGCAACATATTCTTTTAAAACAAACATAATATTGGCAACATATTCTTTTAAAACAAACATAATATTGGCAACATATTCTTTTAAAACAAACATAATATTGGCAACATATTCTTTTAAAACAAACATAATATTGGCAACATATTCTTTTAAAACAAACATAATATTGGCAACATATTCTTTTAAAACAAACATAATATTGGCAACATATTCTTTTAAAACAAACATAATATTGGCAACATATTCTTTTAAAACAAACATAATATTGGCAACATATTCTTTTAAAACAAACATAATATTGGCAACATATTCTTTTAAAACAAACATAATATTGGCAACATATTCTTTTAAAACAAACATAATATTGGCAACATATTCTTTTAAAACAAACATAATATTGGCAACATATTCTTTTAAAACAAACATAATATTGGCAACATATTCTTTTAAAACAAACATTATATTGGCAACATATTCATTTAAAACAAACATAATATTGGCAACATATTCTTTTAAAACTAACATGGTTAAAAACATTGTCCAAAAAAATGTTATCATCAAGCCAAAAAGTTGTTCCTGACACAAATTATATTGGGAAAAAAGTCAAAGGTGACTATAACAAAATTTTTCTCATATTTTAAATAGGAGATTCTAAGAATTTTCTCTATTCATACTATTCTTACCTTCTGCTGGGCTGCTAGTGTGCAGACAGGTCAAGCAACTGAACACCTGAACAGATACAAGTAAAAGATTCATCCTCAATTGATGTTGACGCCTTCCTTTATTTGTTTTTTACTTCTATTAAAAAAACTAGCAACGTCTACTTTTAGCTTAGATAATTTCTGTATTTTTCAGACCTCCCCTTCTGCTCTAATAACAAACATGATTTATTTATAGACAAACAGCTAACATGATCTTATATTTAGGTCTGACACCTAACATCAAAAACATATATGTCTAGTAAGCAATCTAGACTTCACTAAACGGTGTAAATACTTAATCACAATACTCACAATAATATGACATGCAAATTTAGCCGTAACAACTCATCTGACCCACTAACCTCAATACTCACACTTATATGGCATACAAATTTAGCCGTAACAACTCATCTGACCCACTAACCTCAGTACTCACACCAATGTGGCATACAAATTTAGCATTAACAATTCATCTGACCCACTAACCTGATCCTTAACAGAAGCAGCCTTGTCTTCTGGTATATCTCCCAGTGGGTAGGCTCGCCCTGCCAGGCAGCAACTGGAACACATTATGTGGAATCATTTGTTCCATTAAAGCCAAGAACGGATAGAGCTTTTTTAAATTTTTTAATTAATTTTTTTTTAAAATTAAAAAATCCCTTCCTTAGAGAGATACTCAAGACCAATGCAAAGCACTGAGTTACTTTTTCTAAACATTTATAGGAGCAAATGCTTACAGTCAAGGTAAACTCTTCATGTTTAAATGTCCCCCATGAACTGACCTGATGTACACTAGTAACTTGTTTCCAAGCTTGATGTGAACATCTGAGAACATTAGAGGAAAGTTGATGGATTCAGTGTTAGGATACAAAAAATCAGCCTAGAGCCATATGATGTGATGAATGTATTTGAGCCATATGATGTGATGAATGTATTTGAGCCATATGATGTGATGAATATATTTGAGCCATATGATGTGATGAATGTATTTGAGCCATATGATGTGATGAATGTATTTGAGTCATATGATGTGATGAATGTATTTGAGTCATATGATGTGATGAATGTATTTGAGTCATATGATGTGATGAATATATATGAGCCATATGATGTGATCAATGTATTGTAAAAAAAAAAATACACATGAAACCACTTGCACTCTTTAGTATATCTCCGTAGATTTAATAATTACTCCACACCTGGATATTTAACTGGGAATCCCCACAATTTGGAGTTTATTTTCTATAGCCAGTCTTGGAGTCGGTAGTCACTGAACTCAGACACGGCATTACATCTCAGACAATTTGAACGTTTACATCTTTTTCAACATTTTATTTGAATATTCTATATAGAAACAAAACGATCCCTTGTGAAAAAATAGTAGTTCCTGTGTAGCATCATATCTTCATTTCTAAGAGAAGACCTGGACTCAAAGTCATAGAAAATATTTTCCGACTTCACAGACCTGTTTAATTATGTAATCTAATCAAACTTAGTTCAAAGAAGTCTTCTGTCCAGCAACTGACAGGCGTCTGAGTTTATCAACCAGTATGAGCACAAAAGGACACAGGATGGCCCATAAGAAAGGAGGGTCATCATTGGTATCCCCAAGGATCCCACAAGCTACCCAGCCACAGTAATCTATCCATCCCCACGATTCAACTGTTGTAGCAAGATGTAGGTGTGTGATTAATACTAATTTATTTGATAACACAACAGGGAGGAGACAGTTGGCTGGGTAGCTTCCTGAAAGAAATGTTTTGTCCAAATGGATGGGACATTAACCTTAGATCCCGTAACATCAGTTTAACTGATGCCTCCTAACATTATACATGAAATGTGTAGCTGCAGCATTAAGTCTTCATGGAGAATGGCTACAGGAACCTCAAGTCCATGTCACAAAAAATTGTGTAAGCACCATTGGTCAGAAGTACCTATAAAAATAGTGTAATCACTATTGGTTAGAAGTACCTATAAAAACATTTTAATCACTTTTGATTAGAAGTACCTCTAAAAATAGTGTAATCGCCATTGGTTAGAAGTACCTATAAAAATAGTGTAATCGCCATTGGTTAGAAGTATCTATTAAAATTGTGTAAGCACCATTGGTCAGAAGTACCTAAAAAAATATTTTAATCACATGTGATTAGAAGTACCTCTAAAAATAGTGTAATCACCATTGGTTAGAAGTACCTATAAAAATTGTTTAAGCACCATTGGTTGGAAGTACCTATAAAAATATTGTAATCAACATTGGTTTGAAGTACCTATAAAAATAGTGTAACCACCATTGGTTAGAAGTACCTATAAAAATTGTGTAAGCACCATTGGTCAGAAGTACCTATAAAAATATTTTAATCACTTGTGATTAGAAGTACCTATAACAATAGTGTAACCACCATTGGTTAGAAGTACCTATAAAAATTGTGTAAGCACCATTGGTCAGAAGTACCTATAAAAATATTTTAATCACTTGTGATTAGAAGTACCTATAAAAATAGTGTAATCACCATTGGTTAGAAGTACCTATAAAAATACACTGCTGGCTACATACAGAAAGGGTCAACTAACAAACAGTTGGCCACCACCAATGAGCTCAAAATGACAAGAAGTTGTGGAGGTAAAAACAAACCTGTCAGTTGTTTTCCTGTGGCCAGAGCTGCCCCTAACTGGACCAAGAGCTGTTCCAGTGGGCTGGTGAAGTCAAGCATCCCCTTGTTATACACGTATATAATGGCATCGTAGAGACCATGAACCCAGCAAATTTTCACAACCTGAAGAAAAAGAGGACCAGTCTGCACTTCAACCTCATATCAACAAGCAACTTTACCATGAAACATCTTCAAAATTAAATTTAGAATGCACAAGAGAAATATTTCAACCAGAATATCAACATGCAGCTCGTGTAGATTCAGTATCACGCATTATGCGGCTGCTACAATGAGATTTCTAGGAGGAGATCCATTTTTTCTCAGAGCATTGGGGTCATTCGCAAATTACATCACGGGAGTGGGGGGTGGGGGGGGGTGGGGGGGGTTTGTCAAGAATTTGTGACACTTAGTGTGCCATCACACCTTTTCTTTTTTTAAATCTAAAATTTTCTAATTTTGAAAAATCTTTATTGAATTAATTTTAAAAACATTAATTTGAGGTCAAAATTGCCTCAGGTATTATAAGTAACTCAGTCATTCACGCCTTCTAGACATATTGAAGAATGACGCAAAAACTGTTGTGGCCCCTTTACATTTGGCTTGCAGAGGACTTCGTTGCTTTGCGTCACAGTTTTCTAATATTACTACATCTTAATCCATTATGAGAAAATGTTAAAGAATAAAATAAAATCTTAGTTTAATCATGAAAATTTCCTGTACCTTTTGAATTGTCTTAGGTGTGATGTGACACTAGGGGGGGGGAGAATTTGTGACACTTTGTGACAGGGGGGGTCTGAAAGTGTCATTTTTGGCGTGACGTAATTTGCGAATGACCCCATACTTGACTGATTTTCTTCCTGTTTGTGTTTATATAGCAATGGTTTTATTATAGTGTTTTTCCTTTTCAACTCCCCCCCCCCCCCTTTTTCACACCTTGGCTCTAAATTAGTGGTGAGTTGATCAAGTTCTTTCAAATTTAAAATGATCTGTCTTCGGCCAATGAGTAAAAATGATTCATGTATGTTCCACAAGTCCATGTTTACCTGGTCTATATCCAGGCTGGTAATGTCTAGATGGACAATACAAGACTCTACACTGTCCAGGAGCCCCCTCATCTCATAGTGGTCAACAAAGTCCTTCATGACAGCTGGTGGGATGTAAGTCAGTCTGTCACTCTGCATGTAAGGCTCAAGGCATTCCAGGAAGGTCCCCTTGGCTATTACATCAGCAGCTAATTTTTCATAGATCCTATCAAACAACAGCTCCCTACAAGATCAAGATCATTTCAACATATAACAACAGCTCACTATGAGATTAAGATCATTTCAACCTTTAACAACAGCTCCCTACACGACCAAGATCATTTCTTCAACATATAACAACAGCTCCCTATGAGATCAAGATCATTTAAACATATAAAAATTTAAATAAAAGCTGATGAGCTGAAATTCATCCAAGTTGACATAAGTGTTTTCACAAGTGCAATATTTAGTGAGTTTGTGGCACAATGGTGGCTGGCACAATGGTGCCTGGCCTGCCTCATAACCAAAGATAGCTGCTTTGAATTTCTCTTTGGTTGTTGCAAGTATAGCTGGTTGTGTAAGACTTTGTAAGCCTGGCAAGGCAGAAGTTTTGAAGGAAATAATGAAAGAAAGGATGGAAAATCCTGAAGCAAAAGGAGGCAACAAAACAAAGAATTTGCCAGCAAGAAGCCTTCCTCAGCAAACAAACAATGGTTAAAATAATTTTAAAAAATAAAATAAACACTTCGCTGCAATGCAGTACCCGAGAGGACAGCAAGTGGTGTTCAGGTTCTCCCATACTTTGTTTCACATATTTCATTCGACCCCCACCTGATTGCAGCTGCTTTCACTTATCATAAAGAAAGTCTTGAAGAGGATATAAAGCCATGGGTGGAAAACCTCAACCTCAACCTGTCAACCTCAATATTATTCGCTGCTACTTCTTTATGTTTTTTTTTTCTGCACTTTTAACCCATTAATATTTTTTTACATCAAATTTTCTTTAAATATTTCATAAAATTCTAGACGTAATAAAAAAAAACCTTAGTGTTAAGCTATTAAAGTGTAAATAATTTTAAAAACTTATAAGATAAATAAATAAACTTATAAGATGAATAACAAAACTTATAAGATGAATAACAAAACTAATCAGATAAATAGTCAACTTACAGATTATTTAAATGCAGGCAGTAATCAACACACACTGGCACAATTTCCTAAAAATGATTAAAAAAATCTTTTGAAAGAATGCCATTAATTAAAAGTATACTTTTACTTTTTGATGAACAAAGGCAGGTGAACGCATTTCTCGAAGGGTTAATTTTTATTTTATAAATACCATCAAGAGTAAGTTTAACTTTCTAAAAGTAGGTGAAATTAATGGAAACTTTTCATGATCAACCAAGGAGGTATAGTTTAAAATAATAAGGGTAAAATACAGCAGGTAATATAGAGCAATATACCAGATGATTTGAAATCAAGAGCTTGTAGTGTGATAATCATGTGCGGTGCAAAATTCTGAAATGTAAACTTTGTTAAGTTTTAAACCAATCTTTTCATGATAAATATTTGAGACTTGAACACTGACCTGATAATAGTCTTCTAGCTCCTCAATTTTCCCATTCTTTGGTGTCTTGGTAATTGCTATTTCTACATACTCCATTAGAACTTCTACCAGCTGGGTGGCATTTTGTAGAAAAAAATAAAAAATGATACATCATTTTTAGAAATGATACATCATTTTTAGATTTTATAAGATGCACGCACCTTTCTCAACAAAATGTAAGCAAAAGATCTAAATGACTGCTGTGTGCACAATAAAATATATATTGCATGGTTATATTTAACTAATTTGAACTAAGTTTTAATGGCTGACAAGTATTTCTTACCACTGCAGAAACTACTTCTTTCCTTTTACTTTGTGGTCCATTCAGCCCAATGACAGCTTTGGCAGTACCATTAAAGAATGACAAGGTCAGTGCCAGAGCTTCAGGATAACGATTCTCTTTTACAAGCACCGTAATTCTCTGAATAAAATAATTATAATAAAATTCTACCCACTAAATTTTGTACTTGAGCATCTTTTCATGGCTGAAAATTAAACAAAAAGTTATTTGGTTTATTGATATAAATATGGAACTGAGATACCCGTACTTACAATTACCCAGTGTTGCAAAAATAAAATAAATTTTCAAACTCATAGCAAAAATTTTGAAATCAAGGAATTAAAAAATGTATGAATTTTGCCCGCATCCAATATTTAAACATAACATTTACATAAAAGATACCTCTCTCCATGTCCGTATGGAAAACATGTGCAAAGATTTCGTACCCAGCAAAAACAACTGACCACTGTGGCTGACCACTGATTGATAACATGCTTGATCTCCAGCAAATGCCTGCAAAAATATACACAAAGATCTTGCAAAAGAAGAATTCGAACACCTAATTTTAACTCTGCCTGACGTCAACTGATTTACCTGCTGTGAGCTGATTTACTTGCAGCTGATTTACTTACAGCTGATTTACTTGCAGCTGATTTACTTACAGGTGATTTACTTATAGCTGATTTACTTGCAGCTGATTTACTTGCTGTGAGCTGATTTACTTGCAGCTGATTTACTTGCAGCTGATTTACTTGCAGCTGATTTACTTGCAGCTGATTTACTTACAGCTGATTTACTCCCCCTAAAATCAAATGGATTGGCAACAAATCAGCTTTTTGATACAGAGTCTTCATTATTTGGGATAAATTGTTATTTTCATTGCACTTAAATCAATATGAAACTTTAACTTTAGTGGTACAAAAATACAAATTGAGAGGCCAATTTAATCATTTATTTGACAAATGATAATGCATGACTTGTATGAGTTCTGGTATTTTCAAGGGAAATGGGAATTTTCTGTAACCCCTCTCTTACTGTTACTTCAAAACGTGGCTTCATAACTTCTGTTGAACAATTTATGTTTTGAAAAAATTTATTTTTTCAGTTGATATCAAAACCAACACAAAAGGGCCAAAGCTTTATAGGTAATAGTAATACATTTTTTCATGCCACAGAATTTAATTTATTTCAAATGCTGACAAATCTCAGCAGCTAAAGATTGAAGCCCAAAATTAAAGGCTAATGGTGGCAACACTTATCATTTACCTTAATAACATGGCTAATAACATATCAAAAGCAACAAAAATAATTTTTTATGTGTGCTGGGAGATTGATACATAAAATCAAAGTCAGAGCTTTACGTAGTAATGATGCCATAAATTTATGCAGTAATGATGCCATCAGAGCTTTATGCAGTAATGATGCCATCAGAGCTTTATGCAGTAATGATGCCATCAGAGCTTTATGCAGTAATGATGCCATCAGAGCTTTATATAGCATTGGTGCTAATGTCTATTCTAAGGCACACAGACACACAACATCCACTGACCAGGGCCTGGCTGACATTTCCACCAGTGGCCAGGGACTTGAAATAACTTGTTCCATACACTAACTGGATGGCAGACACGTCAATGACCTAAAGAAGCAAGTCAAGTCAGAAGCTCATCATGGTGTCACTAAATTATAAACATGTTACAGAAGCTCATCATGGTGTCACTAAATTATAAACATGTTATGATCAAATCAAATGGATCTTAAGAATTATTCATCAAATGAAGTGACATTTTAAAAATCAGAAAACTCAAAAGAGATATTTCAATAAAAAATAACATATATAGCAATAAAATCTTCTGTCAAGTTTATTTTCATTTCCAAAGAAATAAGTTTTTATCTGCAAGGAAAAGTAATATAGAATAAGACACGTTTCCAATTATAATTTTAAAAATTAAAATTTCAAAAAAAAAGTTATAAAATAATATACACATTCCTTCCTTTCAGAACCGATGCAACTAATTTAATATTGGGCACACTAGCCATTTGTTTGAGCTCAGAGCTAAACATGGGAATAAAGTTATTTTTTTTACCTCCAGCTCCTCCTCAGATCGCACATCAATGACATGTATTTTCTCAGATCTGTCCAAACAAACCAGTGTCCGGGCATTCATCCACTGAAGATCAAATGAAACCATCCAGGTATACAACTGAGCGAAAGTATGTCTCAAATGTAACCATTCAGGTATACAACCGAGTGAAAGTAGTCTCAAATGAAACCATTCAGGTATACAACTGAGTGAAAGTAAGTCAGAGGCTTACACTTATCATTTCTTAAAAGAGAATTATGATGACACTTCCAAATAACAACAGGTGCGCATTCTCTGTGTGCTTTGAATTAAATGTTAATTATCTTTACTTGCAAATGCTACAATGTGTCATTATTTAAAATTTGATTCCTAGTTTAGCGCAAAAAAAAAAAACAACACAAAAAAACTACAACATAATATAAGTGCAGAAAATATTTATTTGTTAAAAAAAGCGTGTTTCAATTGATATATAAACAAATACTTTTGGTATAAGAGGCAAAAGAATAAATTATAAGTTAACTATAAATAGAGGAAGCTATAACAATTTTAATCGATGTCAAGCTGATGACTATAGTTAATTTTATCATTTCCCCATATTCAAAACTGTTATGATTAGATATCTCTAAATAATCCCATTTAATTGACCTATTAAAGCCTGCTTCATATGTAAAATGGAAAACATTTGATAAAAATGGTAAGTTGTTATCAAGTGTGAAAATTGAAATTTTACCGTTATGCTCAGCAGCTGATATTTCAATTCCAACTTCTGTAGCCCTACCGTCCGAATATCTTGGGGACCATGACACATTACCTACAAATAAAATTGATAAAATGTGAAAAAGAAAAAATTCTTTTTTTTTTTAAAGTCTCCAACAGCTACATTGGTGCAACTTTTTATTGTTTAATTTAGCACAAAAAAGGTAAACATCTTGACCCTAGAATCTCGTTACCTTTCTTTGGCAGAATAAAACTTCAAAGTTAAATTAAGTTTACCAATGGTAAGCAAATTTTAATACAGAAATGCTATACAGTTTTAAGTTTAAAAATATAAATATGAGACATACTTGAAAGAAATAAATGGTAGAATCTCTGGCAAATGAAAGAACAGGGTCTATAACTCTGTCCTTTTCTGAAACTTGTATAACAACAAACTGCCAGGCTAACAGTGGTAAAGTGGATGGGTCACCCTGTCATCAGATGTCAAAATTAACATGTAAAAGATAAATAATACAATTATATTACCTAATTATTAAATAGCTATTTTCAGTCTTTAGGAGATTTTATATACCGACCTCCCAGGCCTTTAACACTGCACTCAAAATACATCTCTTTAAACTCTACTACCCCGACTGATCCCCCCACACTGACCACCCAGGCCTTTAAAACTGCACTCAAAACACATCTCTTTAAACTCTACTACCCCGACTGATCCCCCCACACTGACCACCCAGGCCTTTAAAACTGCACTCAAAATACATCTCTTTAAACTCTACTACCCCGACTGATCCCCCCACACTGACCACCCAGGCCTTTAAAACTGCACTCAAAATACATCTCTTTAAACTCTACTACCCCGACTGATTCCCCACACCCCCCACCCCGACCGAAAACAATGCTGCTGGCTGCCATCCATGGTGTGACATGTAAAAGTTATGGGGTGGGTGGGGTGAATATACATTTCTTTTTGTTTTGATACGGCTGTTTTTTTAATTAAATAAATGTATGTAATTTTTTAAAGTCACGATTATGTTTGCTAATATTTTTATGTGCAGTGCTGTGAGCCCAGCCCAAGGCTGGTGTACAGCACTATATAAAACCACTGTAATAATAACAATAATTTAAGTATACCTCAATTATATTTAAGCTTATTTCATGTGATAAAGTTTCCGAAAATTAATTTGATTTATTTTTTAACATTAAGAAATACTTTTCCTTTAACTTATCAGAAAGTAATTAATTTATCATTTATCATAAAGTAATTCATTTATCAAATTTTCTTTTTTCAAATGACAGCAAGAATGAAAAACTATGTAACTTTACTTACTCTCATGGAAGCACTAAAAATATAAAGACATGACTCGCCTTCAACAGATGTGTGAACATAACTTACCTTCAACAGATGTGTGAATTTAACTCACCTTCAACGGATGTGTGAATTTAACTCACCTTCAACGGATGTGTGAATTTAACTCACCTTCAACGGATGTGTGAATTTAACTCACCTTCAACGGATGTGTGAACATAACTTTGAGATGAGGACGAAGAGTCACAAGTAGAACCTTAAACAAGCAACATGGTTAAAAGTGAAAGATTCAGTGACCAATTTTAACAAACAATATTCTTTTTTAACTTTCATCATCGACATTGCTTTCAATTTTTAACAGCTATCAGGTTAATTTATAGAAACATTACAAGAATGAACAGCAATTATGCATAAAACCACTTTACAACTCAGCAATCTTTAACTTCTCTTGACATCAGATTGGAGCAAACTATTTGAGATTTTGTTAGGCTCACAGCAACTCAAACAAATATTTTCATGACATATGTATTAAAATTAACTTTACTTGACATTTGATACTAAGTTATTATTTCGGATGAAACAATTGAACCAATAAAATTATTTAAAGATTTAAAAGAATAATTAAAATAAATGTTGCCTTTTAAGTTGTGCACAAATGTAGAGATAAAGGCGGGGGTACCTTTGAAAGGGAAGCCATTGCCAGCACCATGACATCTTGCATTGGGTGATCTTTTATTGTGTAGTTCATGTGCAGTGGTTCAATGGCACACACTTCTCCACGACTGAAATATTCAGTTTGATTTGCTGACTAATATATCTAGTAATGACCTAAACCCATAATTTGTCTGAGATGGCTTTGAGAAAGGTTGTTAGCAAACAATTTATTCAAGTGTTGCAATGCTCACTGTTTACTTGTGTAACGACAGCCCCCACCTACTTTTTTTGGTTGTTTAGTGTCACTGATGAAAATTTAAAACAAAAGGGTAGACATATAAATTTGTGGCAGTAACAGCAAATAACTACTCCGTGAATAAAGTAAAAATGTATAGCTTATCAAAGTAGCAATTGATATTAAATACATGTCTTTTTGTATTACCTTCCAGAGAACAGACATTGGGATTCACATGTTCGGACACCAATAAGCCTCCTGAAAAATTAAAAAAAGTTTTATTATCTACCCAGCAAAAGATGTCAAATACATTTTTCGATGTTAAAGAAATAGACAGGCAGATTTAAAGAAAAGGATTATCATAACTTTACTTTTTGATACAAAAACAACAATGAAAAACAACACAAAACATTCACTCATGGGACATTAAAATAAAAAAATTATTTTGAGCAATAAAAAAAAATTAAATAAAAATGAGCTCAATTTACATTCAATCAATACGGTGAACATTCTTTTTAAAAAAATGTCACTTAGATATACTTGAAAATATTATTAACTAAATTGGCTTTATACTTGTTACAGGATAGTATAAAAATCAGGCTCATTATAAAGGTCTCACTTGAACTCCAATTCAAATACAGATCCACCGCTGTCACTGCACACAGCCAGCACAAAACTGTCAGTGAACTGTGAAATGTTATTACATTAACTTAAATAAGGATCAATTGGTTCATTTTTAAACAGTAAGATATACACAATTTTTAATGCAAGAATTTTTATTTCTATTTGAAACTATTTTGCTTTTTGCTATGATTTATTGATACAATATTTCAAATGTGTAGCAATAGCTGTTATTATTTTAATTGGTGTTTTCCCACAAAATATATTTGACTAAAACCAAAATTACTTTTATATGTAGTATGGCTGTCCCTGGTGGATGCGCATCTAAAATTGTTCTCAGAAGTTTCCCAGTTGTCAGATCCCACATAGTAATCTAGAGGGAAAAAAAAATAATAATAAGTTATAACTAAGTATGTTGCTCAGAAAAGAAAAAAAAACGGAAATTGACAATAATTAGTCAATCAATGAAATGGTTGCTGAAAAACAAATATTTTAAACCATTTCAAAAATAGATGACTAGATATTCAGTTTTTTATTTGTAAATGTAAAATAAAAAACAACTCAAATAGTTAAATATAGATGAATAAAATGTTTTCTATTTAACCAACATTAAGCTGAATTAAAAAATAAACGTTAGGTCTTTGCACAATTATAAACAGCTATATTGGGACAAAGCAAATGAACGGAAATAACCCTTTAATGGCCTAAAAAAAAGTTTGAAATAATGTAAAACCTGGCCTCTTGCAAATCCACAAATCAAACGTGTACAATCTCTATTGAAACTTAAGGCAGAGACAGACCCATATTGGGCACCAACTGCTGTGCTGCCCAAACACCATTTAAGAACTTGTTTAGGATCTGTGTGTTAATAAAAACGTATTTATAACATCAAAAACTAACATTTTATTTTAAATAAAAATACAATGCCAATAAAGACGAAGTATAACGTCAATAATTTATTTAAAATAAAATAGTTAATTAGAAAAATGTTTCCTAATATTTCAAAACAAATAATTACCAAATACAAGTACAAGCCCGTGAGATGTACCAATGGCTATCAAAGATGAAACTACCTGAAAGATATGAAAAATACACTATATTCTTAAACTTGGATATTTTATGTAAAGTAAGTGAACTATTTCATAAGATTTGATACATGTGTGAAACAAACTTGAGCAATCCAAACATTTTAATACTGCTGTTTTAAGAGTGTGTGATGAGAGATTTTTATAAAATGTCACTTACTATAGCAGTTGGCATGCCAGCATCAACTCTATCCTGTAAAAAAAAAATGTGAACATTAAAAAAAAAAAAAAAAATTAATAGAAAAAAAAAAGTCAAACTTTATTTAAATGTTAATACTTTTTATAAGGAAGTAAAACAAATTATAATCAAAAAATTTTAATACTGCTGTTTTAAGAGTGGGTAATGAGAGATTTTTAAAAAATGTCACTTACTAAAGCAGTTGGCAAGCCAGCATCAACTCTATCCTGTAAAAAAAAAATGTGAACATTAAAAAAAAAAAAAAAAATTAATAGTAAAATAAAAGTCAAACTTTATTTAATTGTTGATACTTTTTATATGGATGTGAAACAAATTATAGGCTAGATTATTAGTGAGGAATGAGTATAAAAATATTTAGTCTAGTAAAAGTATATTTATTTGAGATCGTCTTATAAATAGGTATTAAAATATTTATTTTACTTTAAAATGCATAAAGCAAAAAGTGTAGATTTTGTTCATCCGTTTTATATGGGGAAATTATAAAAAAATATATGATGGCCCCCATCAATGCAAGGATTTCTAAGAATAAAATAGTCAATAATTATAATGATGAGTCCAAATTATATTGAGAACTGTACTTATTGATCTAATTGTACTGTGAAAGAGTATCTTACTGCAGCAGATAGAAGTTGGTTGGATACACTTTTCAACTTGCTGGGTCTTAATACTGAGCCATGAACAGTTGACAGGGCCTTTTTTGTCCTGAAAATCATGCTCAAGTTCTAATGTATCTAATATAGTAAGCAATCAATAGCATAAAAAGTTTTTAAAAATTAAATTTGCTTTGGAATTGTTTACATATGATCTTAAATCTATTTTGCAATATTTTCATGAAAAACATCCCAATAAATGTTACATCTAAATAATTACTCAGTTTTAAATAGATTTCATTTAATCGAAAAATTATAACATTTCAAATGAAAAATAATGTCAAATACCACATGAATTTACTCCTACTCTTCTCTAAAAACAGATAAAGCTCCCTATTTTTTTTAAAACCTAATCATGGTCAGAAGCAGAGAACCCACCTGTCTTTGCGTCTGGAATCATGACTATCTTGGCTTGACAATGATGAAGTCTCCCCAGATTCTCCTGCCTGCAAAAGGTGAAAACCAGGCCGTGAAGTTCCTGGAGTAGAGACTTCATCTTCCCCAAGAACTGATGAATCATCATCGGCCTGTTGACATATCATAATCCTTAACTTCCATTTACTACTCTCTTAATTCCCTTTTATGACAAACAATATCAATGCATGAAATTTAAAATAAATAAATATTTTACAATACAGTAATCTAATAATAAAGATGTGCCTCATCTGCATATTGCATGCATGATATAGCAATAGGGTTATCAAAACTTGGAAAAACACCTGCCCGAGTACCAGTCTACCCATTGAGCCAATATCAGGCTACCGAACAAAGCAGACAAGTTTTAGGAAATGTATGGAGTCATTAAGTTCACAGGCTATCACCCTAGCCAAAGTCTCTGTTAGATTCTACCAATATCTTAAACTATTGCTTTCTACATTAATTTCTATAAATTCTACCTCAATCTGTTGGATTATTTCATTATCTTAACTTGCTAGTCTAGTAAACCTATCATGTGCTAGTCTAGTAAACCAATCATGTGCTAGTTTAGTAAACCTATCATGTGCTAGTCTAGTAAACCTATCATGTGCTAGTCTAGTAAACCTATCATGTGCTAGTCTAGTAAACCTATCATGTGCTAGTCTAGTAAACCTATCATGTGCTAGTCTAGTAAACCTATCATGTGCTAGTCTAGTAAACCTATCATGTGCTAGTCTAGTAAACCTATCATGTGGTCATGCATACTGAGCTTGGAAAGCAATGCTGAACTTTGAAGTCTCGTAGGTGTTAACGAAAGTAGATTTCTTTTTCTTTTTTTAAACAGCTCTAAAAAGCAGTAAATTTTAGAAGACAAATGTACAGTAGTTTAATTGCAAGGTGCCCAAACAAGCATCATGCGTGACAATCTACTTCATGTTTTCCCACCTGCAAAGTAGGCAGGTGCTAGGGAGGCAAAAGTTGGCCCTAAAAGTCAGTAGAGGATTAAAATAACAATGGTCTCATTTGAAATTTTAACAATTTTTGAATTTAAAAAAAATTGTATTATTAAAATCGGCACCCTAGAATCGTCCAGACAGTTAGCCTAGGGCAGGTGCTGGGCACCCAGTGACAGTCCCAGTGAGCAAGTTTCTGTCAAGCTAACATTTTAAATATTTGTAAGAGAAGCAACTCAAAGAAGATGGCATTAGCCATTAGCTATAAAATAAATCTTATACTTATACATTAATTTTTTATAGACCAATTAATGGCACAAAGGTTAAAAAGAGTTTTCCATGCATAAGTGGATTCTACATTTAGTTTTATTGCAAACAAACAAACAAAACAACTGATGGCTAAATTTGAAGGGACATTGATAACTAAAATGGCCAACAAATAATTGATAGTGGCTGGCGCAAGTAGAGGGGCTATGCTCTTTTGAATGTTAATGAGATAATGGTATTGATTTGATTCCAATCCTTCAATTCTCCACTCTGCTGACAACTTACTTCATTTAATATGCTCTCCAAAGTAGGAACATTGTCAACTTTAGGAATGTCAAACTCTGAGTCATCAAGCTAAGACAAAAGATGAAATTTTAAAATATAAATATTATATACATTATTAATGATGCTGCTAAGCAGTGGCATAGCTTTTTGTTGCCCCCTTCCCCAAAAAAACTATGAAACTATGCATAACATACTTAGTTATTGCTCACAACGTGATCAGCGGAATGGGTTCACAAAATTTGAAGGTGTAGTCCATAGCCATATAGACGTGGTAAAAAATACTGGGTAATGCATACATATTGCGCCTTGATGTATTTTATGATTTTGTTATGTTTCTGTTTTTGGATTCACTCCCCTTGTTGTTATTGCTAGAGTTAAATTTTCATTAATATGCCGATGCAGTGTTTTGAATTAAAATTTTATTGGTAGGTTAAATTATAATTTCAAAATTTCATTAGTTGGGTAATTATAATATATTTTAATTTCTCCACCATATTTGAAAATGTGTTTGGTACAGTATTTTATTGATTTTCTGACAACTTTTGGATATTCTATTTGGTGGAACCTGAAATAAAGTGGGGAAAAGTGTATTCTATGAAATTAAGTTGGGTTGTCATTATTTTACAATTGCTTTTCCTTGTTTTTCTTCATTTTTAAGTTTTTTTACCACACGTTTTTAATTGAAGAGATGGAGCATGTACTGACTGAAATTAGATGAGGAAAGAGAGCAACCACAGGTGTTTTTCTTGCCACATATCTAGAGGGATACAATAAAGTAGCTATGTTCACCGAAAAATGTATGCACCGGCAGAAATTTTGTCATTAAATTTTAACATTTTATCATATTTTTTAATTCTGTCGGTTAATAGTTAAACCAGAACTTTCTCTCCATTTGCCCTCCCAGTTTTAGCAGACGTGAGTTTATTTACATTGCCACCATCTTGGTTGCCATGACCCGTGACCTTTCATGGGTCATGGCAACCAAGATGGCAGCCATGGGAATTTGCATGGCCATGGCGGTCATGGCGCTGTATCAAAATACCAAACAAACTCACACTTTAAAAATGTATAGCTCAAAAAGCAATAAGGCTAGAAATTTGATTCTGATTCTGGTCTCATTTTTTTTATTTGCCTAATATTTTTATATTTTCTTTATCGAAGTACTACATTTACATGATAAGAGTAAGAGTAAGGTATAAGATAAAAACAGTAATATAAATGATAATATACTTTATCATAATAGTAGATACTTCGATGAAACAAGGGAGACTACTATTTTTTTTGTATCGGAAATGGCTGTCGGCGCCGAAAAATCCGAGTTTTTAATTTTCCGATGTGTGTGTCTATTTATTATTAAATTAGTTCTTTCCACATATATTTGAGTTCCGTTTCCGGCCTTATAATTTGGAAGACATCTTGGCCTACATTTCTAGCCAGCTATTTTGCTTTTTTCAATCGACCTTTATTTTGAAAATCTTTGGTATATATAAGGCATCTTCGCATACAAAATTTTTTGTGAAATAATAAGATAAGGTCCTTTTTGATTAAATCTGTATGAGCATTAGATATTGATCTATATCTGTGCCAAGTTTCATTGATGTAGGTCGTGTCTCACGTTTGTTACACTTGTCACAGTGACCCATATCACCATAAGGTGGCTCAGCCTAATTTCGACATGGCGTGGGCCACGCCCCCTTTTTAATGGCGGAAGTTGCCGATACTTAGGAAATATTTAATTATTACCACTATATACATCAAAATATTTTATATTTTGTGTTTCAGAATGCATTTTGAAGACATTTAAACTGGAAATGTTTTAATTTGAGCTTTAAAAACCCTGCAGAGTCCATATTATAAATGATCAGAATTTTCCCTGTGCAACACGTTGTCATTGGCAACCATTCACAGCCACTTGCATAACGGCTACGTCGTAGTACTATCTCAGAGTTTCATTCATAAGAGTTTGCCGTGTGCAAAAGCTATTAAACCATTGGTCAGGGAAAGCTTTTATTAATTATTCATGTGCCAAAGTTGAAAGTTTAAAATAAGTCGACCCTAAACAGTATTTTAGTGATAGGGAATGCGTTGCCTTATATAAACTATATAGTCATTGCGCATGACTCGATCAGTGGAATGAGGTCACAGAATGTGGAGATGAAGTCCATGTTAAAAAATGACAAACCAAGTCGTACTTTAAAAATTCATAACTTTAAAACTACAACAGCTAAAAATATGATTTTGGTGTTATAATTCTGTTTAAAATTAGCTCTATTCAACTGTGCCATTGGTTTATTTTTAAAAAATGTTTACATTTTTGACAAAAGTATCTAATAATAGTGTAGAATAGAGAGGATATACATATAAATAGTTAAAGTAAAGTTAATAATCATTAATAATATTAATATTATAATTATTAAAAAAATAAATGTCTCCCTTATCATAGTATCATAGCCAATAATTACGGTAATTGATAGTAATGAAGTGCCTAATTCTAATACTAATACTAATTTAAATGAATCAGAATTTAATGATTAATGAATATGAATGAAAGCGTTGCAAGACTAGAATCCGACCCGTGGCTTATCACGCCATTGAATTATTTATAACGCTTGCGTTAAGTTTAAATAATGGTGACTATTTTCTGAGTTACCTCATCGATATCAAACGATAATGCATTTAATTTAACCACCGGTGATCCGTTTTGGGTATCTGCTCCGCCTTCTTCCGCCATATTTGTTTACCTGCAAAGAGTTAACTCCCATATCTTGCTAGCAGTACAACACCCGTCCTAAATTTTGATGCATTTCAAAAAAAAGTTTATATCTAAACTTTGTTGTAGTTTTTTACCCCCTTTCAAAATTGAAGGACAAATTAATATTTCTTTAAAAATTAATTGATTATTCAATTATATATTTTATTGCATTATTTCATTAAATGTCTTTAATAAAATGGTTCTCTGTTACGATGAGTATGCATGCCCTCTCAAACGATGTACTGAGTACTGGAGTAGGGGGCAGCCAATACTCATATTCACATGTGCCTCAAATTCACAAATATTAGTTTCAAATAATAGTATTAATTGTTATTGAATTAACCTACCAATGAGATGGCTAAATGTCATTGATGGCTAAAAACTAAATGTCATTTATTTATTGTAGGTTTCCGAGTAAAAGAAAAAGGGAGAAAGGAGAGTGGGTGTTGAAATGGCCGGGGGGGGGGGGCGCCATCCATTAAAGACGTCACGTTTTATAGGCTGATTTTTGACCTCCTCTCCCCATCGTCGAAAATTCATCGCATAATTTAGACAACTATGTAATGGATCGTCACAAAGTTTGGACTCCATCATTTATGGATGGCAATCTGTTAATTTAAAAAATATAAAATAAAATCTTCTTGCAAATTAAAAAAAAATTATTATTTTTTATTTCTAATATCAACCTTTGGTTTTAATCTCGTTATCTTAACAGATCTAGCTGATCACAGGCAACTGTCTCTTTCAAAGCAAAAATCAGTTAAGGCCAACCTATTGGCAAGTATTGGTGCAAATGCACGACTATGTCATTGTTAACTCATTAAATTGCAAGAAATAATTTCAAAATTGATATAACAATGTTGTTGCTCTTGAGCACCACTTCAAATAATTCTTTAAATTTTTCTTTAGTGTGAAACAATTTTAAATATAAATACAATATAAAGTAGAGTTCAAGAATTGTACCAGTTTCTGCCTCGTGAGTTTTCTCAAGCTTCCACCGAAGTTTCCAAGATCAGAAATTTATGTTTTTCTAATTATACATAATTAAACCAGACAGTCTTGAAAGTCTCACTGAGAATTATTCGACAGCAACAGTTAAATTAGCCTCATCTCGGGATTCAAAAAAATCTCACTGTGTGCCAGTTGAGAAAACATTGTGCCAACTGAACAGTTAAAATGTGAACGTAATGTAGGATTATCGCTCTCCAAGCAGCCCATTGATTATTTGATTTAAATTCGAATTTTCTTAAAAGTGAAATATATGCACAATCAATATTAATATTATTTATTACATTAGATTGTTAAAGTCTGTCTTTAGATGTTTTCTAGATTATTACCTATATTCATGGGCGCCCGCAGGAATTTTGTCATATGGGAGGGGTAACAAACTATGGGACTCATACAAGTAATATCATATATTATGACATATATAAAGTGACAATATGTTTGTTTTTTCCGCATACGTTTCTACATGTATAAATGGATCTTTACCAAACTTGCCACATATATCCATCAATATCCAGAATCAATAGGGAAGGGGGGGGGGGTTGAACTTGTTATTACATTCAGTTTATGGTCCTACATTATTTGTGTTTCCTTATGTGAGCTTTATAAATAAAATTACCATCAAATACTCCAACATAAATGAATGGATCTTGACAAAACATATTACACATTCACTTGATTATTGACATTCAAAGGACCGAAGGATGCTGAAAAAAAAAATCCACTCCTTTGGGACCGGGAAAGGGGGGGGGGGGACATTTCCTTATTTTTTATATAAGAAATATAAATAACCATGGGCTTAGAGAGCAGTATAGGCTATAGGTTTTATTTAAATTAATAAAGATAGGCTTATGGCATTTTTAAACCGATTATAATGGGACAAATTTTAAATTTTAACTCCATTATATGTCTGTATAGGGGTCTATCTCAGGCATAACTAAAACGATACCTTATGGAATTGGGGTCTATCTCAGGCATAACTAAAACGATACCTTATGGAATTGGGGTCTATCTCAGGCATAACTAAAACGATACCTTATGGAATTGGGGTCTATCTCAGGCATAACTAAAACGATACCTTATGGAATTGGGGTCTATCTCAGGCATAACTAAAACGATACCTTATGGAATTGGGGTCTATCTCAGGCATAACTAAAACGATACCTTATGGAATTGGGGTCTATCTCAGGCATAACTAAAACGATACCTTATGGAATTGGGGTCTATCTCAGGCATAACTAAAACGATACCTTATGGAATTGGGGTCTATCTCAGGCATAACTAAAACGATACCTTATGGAATTGGGGTCTATCTCAGGCATAACTAAAACGATACCTTATGGAATTGGGGTCTATCTCAGGCATAACTAAAACGATACCTTATGGAATTGGGGTCTATCTCAGGCATAACTAAAACGATACCTTATGGAATTGGGGTCTATCTCAGGCATAACTAAAACGATACCTTATGGAATTGGGGTCTATCTCAGGCATAACTAAAACGATACCTTATGGAATTGGGGTCTATCTCAGGCATAACTAAAACGATACCTTATGGAATTGGGGTCTATCTCAGGCATAACTAAAACGATACCTTATGGAATTGGGGTCTATCTCAGGCATAACTAAAACGATACCTTATGGAATTGGGGTCTATCTCAGGCATAACTAAAACGATACCTTATGGAATTGGGGTCTATCTCAGGCATAACTAAAACGATACCTTATGGAATTGGGGTCTATCTCAGGCATAACTAAAACGATACCTTATGGAATTGGGGTCTATCTCAGGCATAACTAAAACGATACCTTATGGAATTGGGGTCTATCTCAGGCATAACTAAAACGATACCTTATGGAATTGGGGTCTATCTCAGGCATAACTAAAACGATACCTTATGGAATTGGGGTCTATCTCAGGCATAACTAAAACGATACCTTATGGAATTGGGGTCTATCTCAGGCATAACTAAAACGATACCTTATGGAATTGGGGTCTATCTCAGGCATAACTAAAACGATACCTTATGGAATTGGGGTCTATCTCAGGCATAACTAAAACGATACCTTATGGAATTGGGGTCTATCTCAGGCATAACTAAAACGATACCTTATGGAATTGGGGTCTATCTCAGGCATAACTAAAACGATACCTTATGGAATTGGGGTCTATCTCAGGCATAACTAAAACGATACCTTATGGAATTGGGGTCTATCTCAGGCATAACTAAAACGATACCTTATGGAATTGGGGTCTATCTCAGGCATAACTAAAACGATACCTTATGGAATTGGGGTCTATCTCAGGCATAACTAAAACGATACCTTATGGAATTGGGGTCTATCTCAGGCATAACTAAAACGATACCTTATGGAATTGGGGTCTATCTCAGGCATAACTAAAACGATACCTTATGGAATTGGGGTCTATCTCAGGCATAACTAAAACGATACCTTATGGAATTGGGGTCTATCTCAGGCATAACTAAAACGATACCTTATGGAATTGGGGTCTATCTCAGGCATAACTAAAACGATACCTTATGGAATTGGGGTCTATCTCAGGCATAACTAAAACGATACCTTATGGAATTGGGGTCTATCTCAGGCATAACTAAAACGATACCTTATGGAATTGGGGTCTATCTCAGGCATAACTAAAACGATACCTTATGGAATTGGGGTCTATCTCAGGCATAACTAAAACGATACCTTATGGAATTGGGGTCTATCTCAGGCATAACTAAAACGATACCTTATGGAATTGGGGTCTATCTCAGGCATAACTAAAACGATACCTTATGGAATTGGGGTCTATCTCAGGCATAACTAAAACGATACCTTATGGAATTGGGGTCTATCTCAGGCATAACTAAAACGATACCTTATGGAATTGGGGTCTATCTCAGGCATAACTAAAACGATACCTTATGGAATTGGGGTCTATCTCAGGCATAACTAAAACGATACCTTATGGAATTGGGGTCTATCTCAGGCATAACTAAAACGATACCTTATGGAATTGGGGTCTATCTCAGGCATAACTAAAACGATACCTTATGGAATTGGGGTCTATCTCAGGCATAACTAAAACGATACCTTATGGAATTGGGGTCTATCTCAGGCATAACTAAAACGATACCTTATGGAATTGGGGTCTATCTCAGGCATAACTAAAACGATACCTTATGGAATTGGGGTCTATCTCAGGCATAACTAAAACGATACCTTATGGAATTGGGGTCTATCTCAGGCATAACTAAAACGATACCTTATGGAATTGGGGTCTATCTCAGGCATAACTAAAACGATACCTTATGGAATTGGGGTCTATCTCAGGCATAACTAAAACGATACCTTATGGAATTGGGGTCTATCTCAGGCATAACTAAAACGATACCTTATGGAATTGGGGTCTATCTCAGGCATAACTAAAACGATACCTTATGGAATTGGGGTCTATCTCAGGCATAACTAAAACGATACCTTATGGAATTGGGGTCTATCTCAGGCATAACTAAAACGATACCTTATGGAATTGGGGTCTATCTCAGGCATAACTAAAACGATACCTTATGGAATTGGGGTCTATCTCAGGCATAACTAAAACGATACCTTATGGAATTGGGGTCTATCTCAGGCATAACTAAAACGATACCTTATGGAATTGGGGTCTATCTCAGGCATAACTAAAACGATACCTTATGGAATTGGGGTCTATCTCAGGCATAACTAAAACGATACCTTATGGAATTGGGGTCTATCTCAGGCATAACTAAAACGATACCTTATGGAATTGGGGTCTATCTCAGGCATAACTAAAACGATACCTTATGGAATTGGGGTCTATCTCAGGCATAACTAAAACGATACCTTATGGAATTGGGGTCTATCTCAGGCATAACTAAAACGATACCTTATGGAATTGGGGTCTATCTCAGGCATAACTAAAACGATACCTTATGGAATTGGGGTCTATCTCAGGCATAACTAAAACGATACC